AAATTAAACAAATTGATAAACTTTTTTATAATGACTCGTTTCCGAGCCACAAGTCAGTTTGTAAATTTCTGTTATTTTCAATCTATATACATTTGATGAAAAAATTGACGTCAATTGGGCTTCAACTTCATAATCAATCATTTTGTTTCAGTCGTTAGAATAGAGAAGAAGAAAATTATCTGAAAAACCAAATTCTGTTTTGTTAAATTTTGCCACATGGTACAAAATTTTCACAATGCTAACAGTAATTTCAAATAAAAACTCAACATAAGCTGACTTCAGCTTTGTGCTATAGCGATAAATAAATCCCCAAATCAATGTCTTTGTAAGTCTCCGACGTTGGATCCTCACCACATTGGTTTTAATGGACTCACTTGGCTGAAGACGCCCGGTCATGCATCCGCACCAGATCACGAACGAGAATTCTCTGCTCAAATTCCGCAACCGCTAGCCAGTTAGACCAGTCGTTTCTCGATATATTGATAGCCTATCAAATATATCTTTGACCATCCTCGCTTCTGTCTTTTGATATCACTGTGTGGGCACGACTCATTTATGGAAGTTGTTACTGGTTAAAGTGTTGTTAAAATACAAATACTTATGGCGTCTTTATTAGTGAGCCCGACGTGATCTGGTACACCAACTTGCAAGTTGTGAGTCCGTTCCTTTTGGGAACTTTAAATATAGTCGCTTTATTAAAGATTTTATATATTGTGGTATTTTGTAGTGTTTTTGGATATTGTTTTTCTTGGTTGGTTCTAGTACCTCACTTCCGACATGACAGAACAGACACCTAAGGTAATTGAGTTCAAGAATGTGACTCCACCTTCATTTCAACTAATGCCCTTTTGGCCACGCAACATTGAATCCTGATTCTTCTACGCAGAGGCCATCTTCTACAAGCACGGGGTGACCGATACACGTGCACATTTCCTCGCAGTAGTAAAGGCACTACCACGCGGATTTAACAGGTACGTCACATCTAGTATATTTACTGGTGATCACCAACTCTTCCAACTTCGAGGTTTTTCAGTCAAATAAAAATCTCAGGAGACACAGAATGACATTACAGAACTGTGTCATACGCTGACAATTTACCTTCGATTTCATAATGTCCGTAAACGTTTGCGAACTCCGCGAAGAAGTACTTCACGCAAAAATATGTCTCTAGATCACGCGATACACAGGACCCAAATCTGTGCTGGTATTGTAGTGAAGGAGAACACAGGTGAGGACAACCGAATTATATTTAGCACAAAATTACAGAGTTACTTGGTAAAATAGAAAAACCATACCATAATATTTAGTTTGCAAAATGTTCAATAATTGTCTCGGACTTTGTTGTTCTTGTATTTCTATGCTAATTGCTTTCTGATCCCGTTCTTCCTTTCTTGAGCTTCCCTATCTTCTGCTGCCAGACATTACACTTCTGACTCGCATTATAAACTACTTATGTCAATATAAGTGGGACGCACCACAGTATCATAATCAGTACAGAAAATCTTCTAGAAATTGCATAAAACCCTTCAAATTTCCCAACTCTACACCGACCGACGCAAGAAACGTTTCGGAAAAAAGTTTCCAGCCGGTACGAGTTAATGGCAACGGTAGCCGACGAACACAACCGTCTGTTGCACGTCACTAATGTGATTACGAAAGTTCGCAAATTCTAACGACCAACCTCACGAAGCGGTTTTATTATTCCAGGCGTCGAACGGGAAACATATATACACACATGGTAAACGACACGTTTATCTTAACTTGGGTTTACGCAAATCCATCCATTGGATTTTCGTTTTTGCAGATGTTTCTATGCCAATCATTGGGATAGACCTGCTTCAACATCATAATTTAATCATCGGTACGCGCAAACGCAGGTCAGTAGACGGAAACACTAATCCTCTGTTTGTGCAACTTCTCCCGACTGAAAATCCTAATACAAGCTCTTTACGCTGATTAATAATCCTTCTTTGACCGTTATAAATAAGTGATTCCTCATATTGTTATTTAAGCATTGCCCAAATTTTGTCTATAAATGTTGGTGTCACCGAAGTGTTATTCAAAAACGAGTGTGTAATACGAGTTAACAGAGCATCTAGTAAACACATAGTTACATTAGGGTTGTTTGCAATTTACTGGTGGTCGGTTGACCAGTGAAGTTTTTAAAGTTGTCCGTAATAAACTGGTTATCTCTACCATGCCTTCGTCCACTGCGTAATAAGATCACTAATCAGTTAAAAATCGAGTGAATCGACGCAGATGTTTGAGCTGTTTTCTATGGCAGTCACACGCCCATTGTGGGCTGTAGCCCTCATGTGCTTGTAGGGTTGTTGGTTTTAACCACATGATCCTCGAAGCTGAACAAAAGATAACTGGGAAAATCGACACTTAGAAGAGGTCGCCAATGGTGAACGGTGTATTAATTCTTCGGTATATTGTGACTCGGTCTTGTAGGCGAGGTCATTACTTCCCGAATATTCTCTTCAGAAGTGCTAAACAATGTATTGCTGATTGTCACGATGCGACGGATCAGTGAAGACAGTGATGCAACCTTCACATGAGGTCATAGAGGTAAAGTTGTCACGTCAGGACATATCTACAGTTCTGGGAATAAGTCTTATTTATCAGTAACAAAGTTAGATGTACTAATGCAGAAGTAGACTTTAATTCCAAATGCTAACGTCATAGTCAGTTTCTTGTCAGATCAACCAAAATTGCCAATCAGCCTATGAGACAACTCGTATACTCCGATAAAGCTAGATAATAAATGTGGAAAAAAACATTTCTGCTCGAAAGTCTTCGTTTGTATTTATCGACGAACATACGACTTGACCAACAGGTGCCAGGCCAGAGTAATTACTTGCATTGTTTACAGTGACATTTGTCTAGTAACAAAATAACTTACATAGGTAATGAGAGGACAGTATAATATTGACATGATCATGTGTGAAACTTAAAGCCCTTATCTCAGTTTGTTCGAAGTCTATAAAAAATAAATGTTTCATATTTATTACAAAAGATAACCAGTGTCTATCTCTTACCGTCGGTTGACTATGTCTTTGTCCACACAGACAGAAACGGACAAAAACGTCAACAGTTACTGATAACAACTAATCGGAACAAAGAATATCTACAAGTAACATTTGTGAAATAACTTTTTAAACCGTCCATATTTATATTGCATTTCAAGCCAGTGCACATCACTTCAAAATACTTCACATGCAGTTTAATCTGACGGTGAGTCGCAAACAAAAACCGCGTCATAAAACCGTCCTCTTAACGAAAATGCCTTATAGATTCATTCTGATTCAGTAAACTCGGCAAATTACATTGATAATAGCCAAGTGACCAAACGTTATTTAGAAACTTATCGTTAGGGATATTGCACCTAATATTGTGAACGTCATTGACGGTGATATGTTAAGTGTCTAAACACAATTGATAAGAATGTGCGCGAATGTGACCATATTTTGGTAACATCGTCATTGGAAAACTGCTTGTGAGACTCCCGAGAAACCAGATATCGAATGATACGCGTTGGCGTACTACTTAGTAAAAACGGCCTTAAGTATAATCGTTACGAAGGATCTACAGAAATATACCGTTTTAAGCAAGGTTAGTTGTACACGGTTTTAATAGAGGGAGCCTTTAGCCCACTATTTTCCACACAGACCCGAAATTCAGATTGACAGTGGCAATATTTGAAAGTAAGAGAGTAAATTTATTTGGAATGAAGAATAAGCAGATGACCCATGTGGTCTTCTTTGTCTTGGTTGTGGTGTTGAGTTATAAGGCGTATGATCTTAAGAATAATATTGATTACTAATGATCAATTGTTGTGGCGACGCTCCAATCAATTACGATAGTTTTACCTTCAAATGCTCAGTAATCTCCCAAAATGGACAGTGTCTCACTACGACGCAACGAGAATATAATATTTTACTTTAAGTTAAACTGTTTCTTTATGTTAATACCTTTATTAAAGACAATATCAGTTTATGCTTCGGTCTCTTAACGAGTCCTTAGTAGTTTTATAAATTTCCCAAAGGTCCTCATGACATTTCTGCACAGAGTCAGAGGGACAAATAAACAACATGGAGATAATAAATAGATTTTATCTACACCAGCAGAGTAAATGTGTACCGCAGTTTGTAGCTAGTTTAAAAATAATTTAATAAAAGTATCAATTCGTGAAGGACAGAATGCTGGATGATCTGTTTTGATCTCCCTTGATCTAACTTTATAATGTGTCGACAGACGTAATCTGGATCACGTGTTGATGATCGGCGTTCAATTTGAAATTTGGTCGTCAGCTGACATTTGGTTAGTTTAGGGTCTTTAGCCTTTTTCAGCTAACTTATAAACCCTCTGTTTTGAAAGGCGAGGAGAATCAAAGCGTGTCAAGTGCAAAGTTGATATTAAGCAATTCGGGAAATCCAATTCGTTCTATATGATAATGGAATAGGTTCCCAGACAACCCAAAAAGGAGAAATAAAGGGGTAAATGCTTTGGTAGCGAAAGGGGAAATTAAGGGAAAAACGCATCAGAATGTCGCCTTTTTCGCCTGTCCGGGGAAAATAATGCGGATTTCCCCCTTTTTCGCCATGTTGTCGATAAATTACCGACTTATCGCCTAAATATACGCCGAATTAGTTTAGACTGTCTTTCGTCATACGACAGCTTTGCGATTAAGCAGATCAAATTAGTCACGCTCCCCTAAACTTTTCTCAACAACTCATCATCTTGTATGAGCTTCAAGAGAAAGAACCAAATTTATGTTCCAGGTAGACTAATTCGGAAACAACTATCGTCTTGTGATACTTTGCTTTAAAGTAGCAGTAGCGAAATCGTTTTTGATAAAATGCTTTTGGACAAAACTACCATGATTTTTTCACATATTTAGGATATTTATGGTATTTCGATTGTATGTTCCCCACAATAACATTCGGGCTAAGTTGATTCACTATGTAAAATTGATCTAAAGCAGCACTTACGGAATCATGGAAATATTAATTGACTTGGACATTCAGTCGTATCCTTGTCATTTCATTTTTCCACCCAAGTCATTACTGAATATAAGAGAGAATGTACAAAATCCTGGCTTGCAGGTTAGTTGAACTGTTTAGAGAAACCTAGAGGGCTGAAAATATGGACTCCTGTTGTACCTAGTCTGTTTTTGTCCTAATTACCTATTTTATCAATTGTTCAACCGCCTTCAACTGAATGGAAAATACTACGCTCTGTATATCGGTCGTTGTACTGGATATTAGGACTGCATTAAAAATAAAATGGGGATTTTGATCACATAACTGCGAAGCAGAGTGATCATGCAATGGGTTTACTTTGAAATTATCCGAAAATTGATTTGTTTCTGCTATTCTATCCCCGACTCCTACACATATCATTATCGCTAGATTCATAAGAAAATATAATGGAACTACAATGTGAACTTCAAAAATAAACAGTTCATTCCAGAAGCATTGGATTGTCTTTCTGAATCAGGTTCTAGATATTGTCAGACTAGATAATTTGACACCTGACACTAAATCTTTTGAAAATATATTTAGTTTATTCTATAAAAAGATACATTTGGTAACCAAAAATATTCCACCGACCACAAAATGACATTATTGTGAAGAAATGAAAAACAAACTAGAAGAATACAAAAGTTAAAAGTTTTGGTGCATGGAAGGACTCAACCACGGAGGGTTTTATTTAACAAGTGATGATTCAGCTGAAGATGATCCATAATAACTATACCTTGAACCATATTACCACAACGGAAGTTGAGCACTTCTCAATTGTCTACATAGTGCTAACTGAAAAGGTTATCATCCTCAAGCTCCCTCACTTCTTTATGTCAGTTTATCCCATTCTTGCTAGTTAGTCCTAGTTAATTTCCTTGTGAATTTCATATTAATTTATTATCAGATGAACTTTGATCTTAAGGTTTTTCACAAGTCCGGTATCTTTGCGGGTAATAGGATCGACGTTGATTCGTCATTCACCTCCTGGACCGCTATAATTCAGTTATATAGTGGTTGGAGATTAGTCAGCTGTTAGTATTATTTGCTTCAGTTTGGGCACCCGGGCAGTATCACAGCCCTCACACATATCAAATGAGATCTCTGTGGCCCATATGTATTTGATGCCAATATCTATGTGTTAAAATAAATAAAGTATTACTCGTATACTTAAGTAACTTTGCGTTAAACCACTTTTTTAGATGCAACTTCGTTAACTGATTTGTTCTAAGCCGTATTTAGTTACTACTACTGGTTTTTGGAATAACTGTCAATTTGTTCTTCGATTGCCGTCGGTCCCTACTGTATTTTAAGGTGGTAAAAATAGACCCTCTTTCATGTCTGTTAATATCTGGTATCTTTGTAAATTATGGTCATACTTTCGGTAGATTCTACTGCTGTTTCTGCTGACTGGAAATACTGTAACTCACTGACTTTATGCTTTATCTGTAAGCAAACCTCATGTTTGGTTATTAAGACCGTTTTGATCATGCAAACTTTATTTCCTGACTCGGTAGCCAAAAATCAAACACAAACTAGTAAGCCACAACTCAACCTTTTTTTATAGTATTGGAAATGCAACTTCTGTTTGAATCAGATTAAGGATTGCTACCATTGTTCAGTGGCCTCTTAAGCATTACAAATAGAACAAAGAAATACTTTCCAATTTTATTTCGTCCATCCATTACAGTTCAGATATCTATCACAAAAATAAGTTTTTGTAGTATTCCTCTTCGATAGTGACTATTCTGTATAGAATTTCTGCTTATTTTTGTAGGTATTCATTTTCATATTCCAAAGAACCATCAAAGGAATCATGACACCGTTGGATGTAATGTTAACGTTATTCAGAACTTACTGTTATAATTTTGGTTCTTTGCTTTGTATTTTTTTATATCTCTAGATACCAGTTCAATTTTCTATGCTTTTTGAATATAACGAATGACTTATTTGGGGGAGTTGGCTGTACTCTTATTGGAGTGGGTCCTTGTTTAGTTCTTTTCCTATGTACAGTCGCCAATTGTCCAACAAAAGTCATTTTACTGACAGCCAGGTATTCATTACAATTTCATTAAAGTTATGTTTAACTGTTTTTCCTGTTTGCTCAGACAACTCTCAATTTTCTTGCATACGTTTGCTCGTATTACTGGAAAGCCTTTTAAGACATTTTAATATAGTATTTTGAAGCTTTCCTTGTAACTTTCATCATTTATGAGCAAAACTTACAACCCTCAGGAGATTATTAAACTACTTCGAATTTTTAGTTCAACAGTTTTAAAAGTGTCCCACGTCACAGTCGATCATTTCAGACAACTAAGTACACAACGATTATATAGGATTTACTTTTAACAAACTTTTGTCAAATTTTGTCTTGTCCAGTTCATACATGTTTAACAACTAACACTGTAAATCTTCAGTACAGGTATTCAAAAGCCATACTGTAATGTCTTAGAGCCTCTAGTTTTTGAAAATTTAATCGGACACTTAAGTCTTTTCGTAGGTACTTCCGTTCAGGCGTATTTATCTCACTTTTGTCTCCGGATAGATCAGGGTTTCAACACGAACTCGTTCTTGACTATCAAAGAAAAAACATGAGTGTAAAATCTGGACCAAAAGCTAATTCGCATTGGGGCCTGTAATTTTAAACAATGTGAATCAAAATTTGGTTCTGCAACAGTGGTTTGTATTGATATACTTAGCTCATATACCTTAACTCTACTGTGTCATCCCTCCGAATTCAGACTATTTCTAGCAACAAAATACCTCAAAATGATAAGGTGTATTTTTACTAAGTTTTGCGAACTATGTGATAACTATTGGTGTTTCTTTGTGGCAGCAATAAATAATAATTCATCCATAGGAGTGATCTACATCCTCCCGTTTATGCTGATGACTTCAATTGAATGGTCTCTTTCGGCATACTTACATCCTAAGGGGATGATCATCAATTGAGTGACTATCTGAACTCAGTAGGTAAGTGGATAACGCTTTGGGTATTCGGAGCAAATATACTGGGTCTGAATACCGGCGTGAATATCAGCACAGATGCAGGCGTTATCAGTTGACGAGTCCCAAATGCTAAGAAACACACATCATGGATTCCACTACCAATCACTGTTCAACTGCCTAAAGTAAATATTAGTTTATGGTTATTCTCTCTCTCTATATATATATAATGGTCGATAATGAAAATACAAAATTATTGTGTCATTAAAAGAGGTACTAAAAGTCAATCAATATTTACAGCTACTTAGTCACTAAAAGATAATAAAATTGAAATAACTTATGAAAATAAAGTAATAATGATTGTTCACTCGATGGTTATAAGGAAGATAAGAATTTGGGTGAACATGTGTCAAAACAATTTACAAAATAAGATATAGAACAGATATCTGAAAGAGAATTAATCTTTTTCATATAAATGGCCACTGCAAATTTACCAATAAAAAGTGTTAACTTGATATTGGATTCAGATCGTCATCGTATTTGAAATCTAATGATACATAAATATATAAAATAAATGCACAGTAACATGCTTACGGTCACACGAATTAGGAAATACTATTAAGTTGAGCATAATTGTTTACGTTTTGCGAGGATATGGTAAGAACTTCTTTTTCTTTATCAATGATCAGTCAGTCAGTTACAACGTAGGACCAGGCACATACATGCATCGGTCCAAGTTACCACACCTCCTTAGCACAGCAAGACGAACAATGATACAGTTATGGAAGTAGATTGTTATTATATATGGGCTCCTAGGCATATATTTCATTTTTGAATATATGTGCCTAATGCGCCGCTGATAATAACTTATCATTCTTGCTGATGGTTTCATAAAGGAAAAACAACTAACTCATCGACCAATATACTATCGATATTAAAATCTACCAGCCATTAATATGATTCAGCGCTAATCCCCTCTTTGTGACACTTGTTTTTTGTCATATCTTCTATTTTTCAATTCTTTCTTTTTTAAAATTTAATTTAGTGGATTTTTCTGGTTGGTGTCATTACTTATTACATCTGTGATGTGGTTTATAGTCACTCCACTACGAGCTTACCTTGCATTTGGGATTCTTATCGGTGTGTTATTCCAAGAAATTCTACGATTTCTATTCTTTTTATTGATTATGTACGTTCTTGTTTTGTCGATTGTATAACTTTTTTATTATCAAAGCTATTTACTTTTAGTGGGGCGGCTCATCTTAAGACAATCACTTTATATGTATATTCTGTCATGATAGAAATCAAATTACGACTGTATAAAACATTTAACACGTGCTTACATTTAAGTAATATTTATGTTTGTGTTGCGATGCTTCCGAACCGTAGCTACTGCCTTGACGTAGTGATAGGGCGCAAGAGTCGCCATGAATAAGTCAGGTTAACTTGACTGAGGGAATTGTTCCTTTGGGTGCGAGGGCGAAGTTGTACTGCTAACTGCACTGGGGTTTAACGGTAGTAAGGCATTTCCTTCAAACATCAAGCCTAATACTGCTCAATAATAGGCTGTAGAATTGACATCGAGCAGTTGACCCTTGTATACTTTTGTCACAATCCCGGGTTGCCAGTAGCATCTTTAATCCAGTTGTATTCTTGAAATACTTCAAGAAAAAGTATTCATCCACGACATGAAAGACTAGAAAGTATCAACCGCCATCATACCTTTAAAAATACTCAAGATCACTTTAACGTTAAATGAGAGATAAAATCGTACAGATTGACTGTATTCGCTATCAATAGTTATTATTCATGTACAACTGCATCGTACTTAAGATGAAATTGAAATCCAAATTGTTTAGATAAGAAAGTTGTTGATCCTCGTTAAGTAATAAATCACACATGTACACATATGTACTACGTAAAAGTGCTTTTTCTCACATGTTTTTCTATTCACTTTTACTTTTTGTTTCTTTTATAGCAAAGCTGAATCCGGCCTTCAGCTGATTGTAAGTAGTTCAACTACTACTACTATTTCAAGGCCACAGCTGGCTGATGGAATTAACAACGACAACATTATTGATAATCATAGTAATGGAAGAGGAGAAACTGAAAGAAATGAAGTTTCAAATTTAACAAGAAATAGAAAAATATCTAGCAGTAATATTGTAATAACAAACGACTATGATCATAATATTTTGAATGATAATAATAATAGTGGCAATATTAATAATAATAGTAATAATAATGTCGTAAAACTTGATCATCTTACAGTCGCTTATGTCTCTGGTTTAGGATACGGTTTAATGAGTTGTATTATACAGTCATTACGTATGCTTATCGATTCCTATGGCCCTGGAATAGCTATGTATTCATCATGGAATTCGAAAACATTCTTTCTATTTTCGTGTAAGTGTATTATTATTAGGTTGTTTTGTTATGTATTCGTATTTTCTTGTGATAATCGAATTTATTATAATGTGATTCATTTACAAAGTACCGTAATTAGCTGTAAATTACATTTTTGCTGTGTGTTGATACCGATAGGCAATCAAAACTTGGTAATCTAGAATAATTGCGCGTTACTTCACCATCTTCCATCCCAGTATAATCATATATAGCTCCTTTAAAGGCGCCTCAGCATTTTCAACTCAAATTGTTATGGTACGTAAGTTTTAGAGCTGTGATTCACTGGTCAGTCTCCAAATTTCAATACTTATGTCGTAAGCTTTTGACTCTACCTTTGCTTGCTGAGATCTTGGAAAGTAAATACTATCACTAGGTGTTATCAAACAAATGTGTTACAGATTCCTTTAGTCTATGGACATGTACTTAATTAGTGATATACATTGTAACTCAACCTATCCTTTGTTAATTCTCTTGTTACTGTATCATTATTCAATAATCTAGGGTGCATTTTTCTGAAATGCCCTCACGATTTTCAATGATATTCTAGTTGACATATCAACGTAGATTAACGAACTACATTCATTGATTCCTAATTTGTTAGCCTACTTTGTAAATGCTACTGTTATACAGAATGACTTTAATCTCACTCTCTACTAGATCCTATTGCTATTAACGTAGTCTATAAACCAAAGTAGGTAAAGTATTGTTCGAACCTGAGACAAAGTATTTAAAAGTATGATGCGTTAGTCACTGTTTGATAGGACTAACGTTATTTAAAAGAAGCGCAGACCTACTTAATTTATTAGTCTGTAAAATGTTATCTTAAGTAATAAAATATAGACGATGTGATTTCATGTACTTAATGCATGATATTATAGTAAGCAATGAGTATTATCAATAATAAATGTGTCAGAACAATAAAAGTTGATATACTCACTAGCTGTTCAAATAGGTTGTCTATTTATCAGGTCTATGACTGCATTCTCCGAATTTAGATAAACTAATCTCTTAACCATGGGGGTTCACAAAGTCAATAGATTCACAATAGTTGTTTTCCTTTCTTGGTTTCAGTGATATGGACTCACCTTAATAAAAGGCCGAACGTGGGGATGTCATGTTTATGTCAGTAACGTTAAATTTGTTTATTTATGTAGAAAAAAGTAACCATTGGATCATGTTTCCTACCTCATACATATCATTAAGGATTGAATTTCCTTAAGCACTAAAGGTATTAACCAAGTAGTTACAAATACACAAGGTTAATACTTTAATAAGTTAGCTTTTGTGGTGATCAGACGACAATTTGACCATAAAAACACTGACGGTTAAATATATACACCCAATCATACTTTCACTCTTATTGACTAGATTTCGTCAAGTTATAATACCAATACATCAGTAAGAATCCTTACATTTCTGATAAAACGCTTTTTTTATGAACACTAATTATGATGTGTTTGGCGATTACCTAGTATTAGGGTGGTGGATGCTACTCATAGGATTGCTTGCAAATAGTGCGAAGCCGAACATGGCCTTGAAGCTGTCACGAGCGTTAGACGGAGAAGCATTTTAATGCATCAAAAGCACGATGTAGACAGGACACTTGAAGGTCAGAAGAGAGTTCAGATAGCAGAACATACCACAAGATGCAAATAAATGGTCGAAGGCTATGTATACGTGTTATACAAAGACTTTGCAATTTTTCGCACTAAATATTCTTTCCTTCTGAACATTGTCTTGTTTTACGATTGGCGTCACTGCCAGGATCAGGATGAAAGTGCTGCGGCCGAGGCCGTTCGAGGATGGAAACGTCAGGAGCTATCTGAGACAGTCCAAGACCGTGGCGGAGCTGGTCGGTGTGAGCGAGTAACAAGCGAGGGTGACAGCCTTGGGGACACTGCTGCGTGGTGGGGTGAAGGCAGCGTCCGGTGGAGTCGTTGAATTGGTTGGGAAAGAATCTTGGGTTGTCCGCACTTCTTGGTTGCTGATGGAGTTTGACAGCTTGGGTAACTGTCGAGTGGCATTATAATAGTTTAGAGCTATGCGTTTCGCGCCACACGGAAACCGGCTAATATTGACATCTACATTAACTAACCTGCATCGACGTGCGTTTTTCGCACTGGGCGAGAAATCAAAGGATCAACTGCTGGTGTCGCAACTCCACGGAGAGATATCCCAACAACTTCGGGTGGATAGACCCACACAGCCAGTAGAAATATCGGAAATGGCTAGGGCAGCTAGACAACTGATGAGTCTGACCGTATCGTCGGCTAAGGATAACTGTAAAACCTCAGTCGCTTTGGGGTTGCAGACAAAAATCTACGACAACAATTGGCGGGACACGAGGAAGTTTGAAGACGGAAGTTAGGTTATTTGAGTGTGGGAAGGTCAAATATCACAGGAGGGATTACCCCAGGAAGCGGAAACAAAACCCGTCTGGACGTTACAACGCGCCTTTCGTCCTTAAAACGACGCTTGAGTTTGTTGGGTTAGTTAATAAGGGCTCAATGTACACGAGTAAATGGGAAAAATTGGTTTGCCTAGTTGAAACTAGAGCGGCGAAATGGTTAATAGATGAAGGTCGCTGTTAAATTATTAGGCCGTACAAACGGTGAGCGTACATACACTTGAAATTTTAACGGTGACGGACTGCTGCATCAAAATAAATTGATGTAGAGTGCAATATCCATTCATTGTAATAAAAGGGATACAACAGACGATATTGGAAGCAAATTTTCTTAGAGAAAGTAACCACTAAGCGCGGACAGTTAATATACGGAAGCAACGGAGGTTCAAACAGCAACCATAAGGGAAAACGATGTAATCAATCGTGAAATCATACTTCTGAAGGCGCAACATAAATTGTGTTTATTTCCTTTCGGGGATCTTCCACTGATATTGCCTATTGTAGTGGCTTATGATCAGTCTCAACACGGAATTGTTGACCAAGTAGATTTATTCTCCATTTGCCTACCACCCAAACGATCGTTTTGTTAAGCAAACCAGTAACTTAATGTGTCTACTTCAGTCATTAAGTAATTCCATGTAACTTATATATTGCATTTTTACCCACATATAATATCCAACTTATTGAAATCGTTTCTTTTTTTGTTGTTAGCGTGTCAGTGTATGTGTATATCAATGCTTCAAGTGTTTTGGTCTCTTATTCTGTTTTCTGCGTTTGTACAACGTGCATATGGTCAAATTATTCTTGTATACTTTATGCATTTCGGACTAGCTGGCATGGTTGGTGTAAAAAATTTTCTTATTGCATTTATGATATCTTTTCGATGATAAATAATGTTTATGTACTTTGTTTAGAACTCATCCATGAAATAAGAGATATGTCAGATTGATCTAAGATCTGTAAAAGTCAAACACTATGTTGGATTCTTGGCAAATTTATATATGAATATATGCAAGTAAAAGATGATTCTATATTGAATAATAATTGTGCTAGGTTAGAAGAAATTACAATTAAGGTGATAAACTCAGTAGTAACAAGAAACAACAGTGACCTATTTCTGACTTAAATCACTTCATCATATACAACGACGATGTTGTGGATTTTTAAAAAAATTGGATTTTTTTAAACCTTATTGAAAATAACAACTGTGTACTAGTCAGTAATGGTTTATGACTGAATTTCTTAAGACTTTAGTTAAAGGGCACGATCTATGAAATCAATCAAACAATCGATCACATTGTAGGCAAATGCTGAATAACTGAAGTTGGTTATATTGACCAATGTATTCTAACGCAATAAAAAAATGTATCGTGGTTGCTACGAGACATCAGTAGGTGATGCATTGATTTGTTTCAAATTACGGTAAAACAACAATAGGTCTTGATGAAAATTATCCTAAACTTGATCAATCCATTTTTAAACTATACCTACATTATGTTTATATTTATTATTGATTTTACAGTCGTTAATCAATACGTTTTCATCACCTTGCTCAGAAATTGTATGTACAATATACGTGATTTGCCTCATAGGAATGATTATATTCGCTTATTATCGATTTCGTTCACAATTAGACACTAATTATAAAAGAAATAATACTGTCGATTTTATTAATTGAGACAGTAAGAGAAAATTTTATACAAGTGATAAACAATCAATTTCGTCAAAATCCTTTTTTGCCGTTCAAAATTCATTATTCGATACAATTAAAAATATAGATCTACCTTTTTCTTTTTTTTTGTTGTTGTCGTTGAAAAAACGCGATGGTTAATATGAGAATCTTTAAATTTTGCATCTTTTTTTCTTTGTAACTATATGAGTTATGTAACACTATGTTTATAACTGTAAACATTATTAATAACACACGTAATAAATTGATCTTTTAATATTCCATTTATATTTTCATGACCCTGAAATTTAGTGAATCGATTTTAAGCAAATCCGTTTAGCTAGAGAAGTAATCTTTAATTAGACTCTTAAATTCTTGAACATAAAAAGTATTAAATTTGAAAGATGGAATTAATATCACACTAATATTTAAGAAAAAAAAGAACTATATATGCTTAGTTATTAAACTACATCTAATATACATGCGGATTTATTCAAACCATTATTGAATAAATAGTATTTTTTACAATTTGCTACTGTTATTTTTGTGTCAAGATTTCATATCAACCAACAGATGAAATCGATAACTTACCAAAACTCTTTATTTTTTTTGTTTAATTTAAAGCAATATAATTGTTCTGCTAAGCAGAGCTCTTATAAAATTTCATAAATATGAATAAACAAATGGTTGAGGTTTGTGATTAGCGGTGTAAATTACTGAACAATTAGAGAATTCAAGATTATATTGAAAGGATTAGATGATAACCTTAGTGACCTACTTTTATCAAGAGAATGAGATTAGTGTAATGCAAACAATTCTTGTTATAACTAACTGTACCAATGATTGTTTTACTGTGCTTGTTTGTTTAACTGTGCTAAAGACAGTCACATTGCTCTTCTATTATTCTTCATTACTGTTTCGCGGTTCGTCACCCCGTTTGCACGTACTTTCTCATGCCGATTCCGCTTGTACCTTTTCTTAGCACAATCTTGGTATCCATTCGATACCACGAGATCGCCAATGAAATAAACTTGGGACCATTTAGTAGCTGTACATGAGGTCGTCCTCAATTCTAATGTACCCAATGCTTACGATCGCCTCAAAGAGACCATTCTTCGACATTTCCTCCCATCGAGGGACGAACGACTGAGGACATTGTTATCACGTCACCCTCTGGGTGGTGCTAAACCAAGCCATCACCTCACGCGCCTGCAATCCCTTGCAGGACCTACGGCAGCCGGCCCTGAAATAGTTAAAGAATTATGGCTCGAGTCATTACCGGCTTATATTCAACCAACCATGACGGCTCTGCTCGAGGATGCGCCACTTCATCAGGTCGCCCTCATAGCAGACAAGATTTCAGCGAGGACTAATAACAGAGATAGCTATGTAGTTTCCTCAGCGGCACGTCCTAATGTAGACAAGGACGCCGGTCATTCTTCGGCTCACGGTGACAGGGACGGGTGTATTCACACACGTCTTAGTTTTCGAGACCGTTGTGACATACCCCAACCCTACATCACCCGAGCTTGTTCACGTTCCCGCAAAGCCGTCACCACTCGCCCAACCAGGGCATCTTCCAAGCCACGCCGAAAGGCGGCTCCGGAAGCGAGTGAAGGTTGGTGTTAGTTCCATCGGTCCTTCGCGTCTGGCGGCCGCCATTATCGAGCACCGTGCTCATACAAGGCGGGAAACTCTAAAACCGGCGAGCAAAAGCGGCCGTACTCGCCGGCCCTCTCCCTCAGGTTGGCCGTTCATTCTATGTGCACGATTACCGCACAAACGCTAGGTTCCTAGTAGACACTGGGGCCCAAGTCTCTGTCGTAAGACGTGGTAGCAGCAAGTCACAAGCTACAATGCTTCGACTACGCGCTGCGAATGGCTCAGTCATTCCTACCTATGGTACACGACAACTCGCGGTCAACCTGGGCGACCGACAATAGTACCTGTGGACGTTCATCATTGCCGATGTTCTCACAACCATACTAGGTATTGATTTCCTACAGCACTATGAATTGCTAGTCGATGCACGTAGGCTGCAGCTAATCGATACTTCGTCGAACAATAAATTCATGAGCTACAAAGCCCACATGAACGTGTACCGAATCCTTGGTAATTTTTATACGCGTGACGATAAATTCCACGCTTTATTTGAGAAATTCCTCACATTGACTAAACCACTCGAGGAGATTTCATCGGTGACCGATCGTGTGGTACACCACATAGTCACCCGCGAACCACCAGTCACGGCAAGACCGCGCTGACTGGCACCGGACAAATTAGCCTTCGCTAGACGTGAGTTTAACAATTTACTAACTTCTCGTATTATTCGTCCTCACAGTCCCTGGGCCTCTCCTCTTCATATGGTGCGCAAAAAGGATGGGGTTAGTTGGAGACCATGCGGCAACTACCGAGCACTAAACGTAGTTACGCGCTTTGATAGCTACCCCATCCCCACATACACGACATCACGGGATTGCTCAAGGGCACGACTATCTTTTCTAAGATCGATCTGGTACGAGGATATCACCAGATCCCAGTCGCTCTTGAAGATATCGAAAAACTGCTATCACGACTCCTTTCGGTCTGTTTGAGTTCCTACGAATGCCTTTTGGATTACGGAATGCTGCTCAAACTTTTCAAAGGTTTATCGATAGCATTGTACGAGACTTAGATTTTGTTCACGTCTATATTGATGACCTGCTAATTGCATCACCAAACGTAGATGAACATTATCAACATCTTACGCTATTATTCCAACGCCTTTCGGATAATGGAATAGTAGTCAACTCGGACAAGTGTGAATTGGGTAAACCGGAAATAATATTTTTGGGTCACGTCATTAAGCAAGAGGGTGTTCTACCTTGCGAGGACAAAGTGCGAGCAATAAAGGAGTACAACGTGCCGTCCTCACTCAAGGAACTGAAGGCATCCCTCGGTTTGGTGAGTTTCTACCGCGGCAGAACGGTTACGACCATTAACCGACTTACTTCGCGGCAACCCGCGCAAATTAGAAATGAACGGTACCACACGTACTGCATTTACAGAGATCAAAACGGCTCTGGCGAAAGTCACACTTCTCGCTCATCCCGACCCATCAGCCACGCTTAGTATAGCGGTTGGTGCATCTGATTTTGCTATAGGAGCCGTTATGCAACAAAACATCTCCGGTAGTTGGCAACCCCTCGAGTTTTTCTCACGACGCCTTACTCCCACGGAGACGAGATATAGCGCTTTTGGTCGCGAGCTGCTAGCAGCCTACTGCGCCATCAAACATTTCCGGCACGCCGTAGAAGGACGCCAATTCATCTTATTCACCGACCACAAGCCCTTAACGTATGCCCTGCATACCAAGTCTGACCGCTACTCACCACGAGAGTGCAGACATTTGGACTATATCTCCTAGTTCACGACAGGCCTTCGTCACATCAAAGGCGAGTAGAACTATGTTGCCGATGCCCTATCACGTATCCAAGCGAATGCAGTTACTTTACCGGTGCTCGATCTTCCTGCTATGGCAGCCGCCCAAGCAAACGATCCCAACTGTACAAAAGCACCACAATCTACGTCCCTTCAGTGCCAGGAAGTACCACTAGCTACGAGCTCAGATACTATCCTATGCGATACTTCTACCAATCTTCCCCGACCCATCGTACCCTCTTCTTACCGCCGTCTCGTATTCGATGCCCTGCATGGATTGTCTCATCCAGGTATCGCAGCTACATTACGTCCCATCGCTGCACGATACGTCTGGCCGTCCATGAATAAAGATGTCCGTATGTGGGAAAAGCAATGCTTACGATGTCAACGGTCAAAAGTGCACAGGCACATAGCCGCCCCCCTCGGCATGTTCGCTACGCCTGATGCTCGCTTCGATCACGCTCATATAGACTTGTAGGACCACTACCATCATTGCATGGGTATGATTACATACTCACGTGCATCGACCGTTTTACAAGATGGCCTGAAGCTATACCCATCACGTCTATTACGGCGGAGACAGTTGCCCACCGCTTCGTAGAACGATGGATAGCGCTATATGATTGTCCCTCGACTGTCACGACCGACCGGGGACAACAATTCGAGTCCGCGTCATTCTCCTCACTTACCCGGCTGCTTGGTACGGAACGCATACACACTACCGCCCAGCTTCAAATGGTTTAGTTGAACGGTTTCATCGCCAACTTAAAAGCGCTCTTCGAGCACACGAAAACGACAACTGGTACGAAACCTTACCGCTCATCCTCTTAGGCGTCAGAACGAGCTTGAAGGCAGATATCCAATGTCCCGCCGTTGAACCGGTATACGGCACGACATCGCGTCTGCCTGGGGAATTCTTCACACCACGGAGCAGTAACGATTTCGGTGAATCAGACTACGTCCACCGACTGTTACCGTGAGCCGAAGAATGACCGGCGTCCTTGTCTACATTAGGACGTGCCGCTGAGGAAACTACATAGCTATCTCTGTTATTAGTCCTCGCTGAAATCTTGTCTGCTATGAGGGCGACCTGATGAAGTGGCGCATCCTCGAGCAGAGCCGTCATGGTTGGTTGAATATAAGCCGGTAATGACTCGAGCCATAATTCTTTAACTATTTCAGGGCCGGCTGCCGTAGGTCCTGCAAGGGATTGCAGGCGCGTGAGGTGATGGCTTGGTTTAGCACCACCCAGAGGGTGACGTGATAACAATGTCCTCAGTCGTTCGTCCCTCGATGGGAGGAAATGTCGAAGAATGGTCTCTTTGAGGCGATCGTAAGCATTGGGTACATTAGAATTGAGGACGACCTCATGTACAGCTACTAAATGGTCTCCGAGTAGAGATTCGAGAGGGAGAGCATACTTTTGGTTTGGGCTCCTAGTGCGGCGAGTTTCGAATTGAGATGGTAACAATGAAATATACTGGCGTAAAATGATAAGTGGAAACCTGACGATGATCACAACAATTATGAAAGTGTACTGTACTGTACTTAATATTTAGCACAAAATTCTAAACATTTCAAGCTTTTTG